GATTTGAATCCAAGCATCCAATAAAAAGAAGGATCTTAAAGAAACTGATAATATTCTGATGATTAGCGTTATTTCCACAGTTGTGGTCTTGAAATAAAATGCAGAGTCCTCAGCGCCCGAGTCCGAGACGAGACCGAGACCATCAAAAAATGGTCTCGTGACCATGACCGATCTCAAGTACTACAACACTGCGGTGGACCTTCGCATAGTGATGCTGCTCTTTCGGAAAAAAAAGATGCAGAAATATAGGGAGGAATGGGAAAAAAACAAAAGATGGGTGGAAAAAGTCCACAATAATGAATATAAATCACACTGCAAATGTGCATCTACTTCAACGCAGATTTGAGTCAAATAGTTAAATAACTCATTTCACACACAAAGGGGGGCTAAGAAAAAAATCACCACGCCAGGAGGGGTAAAGACAATCAGGTCAGCTGGCACACACATGGGGTGTCCCGTTTTTTTAGGGAGTTGGCTACCCTAATTACCACCACCCACAGCCTAGGTCATTCAGGGTTAATTTTGGGATCCTGGGCTGAAAAGTTGATGGTTATTAAATCTACAGCTGCAACTCATGGTCTCCTCTCTTGTTGACAGGGCCTCCCTGGTCCAGATGGTCGTGAAGGAATACCTGGGTTGCCTGGTTCTAAGGTAAGGTTGCCGATAATAAACCAAAAATAATCTTTTTCCAGCCAACAGCATGCTGAGGAGGGCTTCACATTTAATATAGAAATTGTCCGAACCACCAAGGACATTCTGTTTGTCCTTCTGTGATGTAAAAATATGGAATAACTTGAAAAAGTCAAAGAGTTTAAGAATTTAAAACAATATAAAAAAAGGTTTTGCTCACAGAGTATGTAGATGAAGACTGTTGGTATATGTTTACATAGTGATATGATAACGTATGATTAAAGGTCATTGTTATGAATTAATGCATTTATGTAACAAGTAATGCATTGCACAAATGAGCTAGAAATAAGTACAAATTTCTTAAATTAAGTGTATTTACTCTTAATTTGAGTAGGTGAATTAGATAGTTTGCCAATGGAATGAGTATTTTTACTCTTAAAATAAGATAATTAGATAATATGCACTTGAAATAAGAGAATTCAACTTTGTTTTCTTATTTTAAGTGTAAATTGTATTGCTCCATTGGCAAAATGTATCTTTTTACCTACTCAATTCAAGAACAAATGCACTGATTTTAAGAAAAAATTACTTATCTAGATTTAGATTTTTTTGCAGTGTGTAAGTACACAGCAAAAATTAGAATCAAAATATGTCATATTTTATTGGATTGAGGAGGTGAGTCAATTTGCCAATGGAACAGACCATTTACAATAAAAAAAAAAAAGCAAATATATAGTTATTTTATTTTACGGGTAAAAAATCTCCTTCCATTGGCAAATCACCCTATTTACCTACTCAAATTAAGGGTAAATGAAATTAATTCAAGGAAATTTTGCTTATTTTTGGATCGTTTTTGTAGGGTAATTGCAAGTGCCTTAAAGAACAGGAAGGACGTGGGACAATATTTCAATCTTATTTGTAAAATATTGTTCTGGTTATGCCTTTTAGAATGAATAAACAAAATAAAATGAAGGTTGCTAATTACATTTCTGCTGCAGGTAATTGTTCGTGGTGCACTGCCACAGCTAAATAAAAGCCGCAACACCATCAAAATGAAAAAAATAACATAGAAATAATGTAAAGCATACATTATTCATATGATATAACATTTAAAAAATTGATAACAGTGGCTAACAGTTATGAAGCAACTGGTGTGAGCTGCTCTGCTCTTCTTAGTGAAGGAAAACTGGAGTTGGGTGTTGCCATCTCAGCGAAGTTGTCACTTTATTTTGAGACTTTTCAAAACAGCAAAAGAGACGAATCTCAAATGCTTTTGGAGAGTTTGATGTGAAAGCAGCAATAGTTTTAACAAATAATAACAAAATCACACAGATGCTGATAATTCTGACCTGATATGTAAAGCAGGATAGAAATATAATGAAAAAACTGTTTATTCTAGTCTCTTTGTTTTCTCTGAAAAACAGTTTAAATCACTTATTCACCGCCTAACACCTGTGCCTCTAATTAATGTCTTTATGGTAAAACCATACGTATGCATTGTGGATTCAGGCAATGTATAAAAAAATCATACATCACTTCATAAATTCAGGTTAACATACGATGCTTTTCCGTGACCCCCGCTTTAAAGCAAAGCAAATAATTCCTTTGTTTCCTTTTTTTAAATTATCTTCAGGGTCCTCCAGGTAAAAGCGGAGCTCCAGGTGATGCAGGCCCACAGGGACTTCCTGTGAGTGATTGTTTGTTGACTGTTTTCCACCTTTTGCCTTCCTTTTTTCAGACTATAGTCTTAATCATGGTTTTGTTCATGTAGGGTTTACCCGGTTCATATGGCCAGAAAGGACACAGCGGTGCAAAGGTATGATCAAAGCATGCAGATTAATTGTTCTGATAGAAACACTTGATAAGATGTCTGAATGTTGACAGGCTGAAATGAGTAAAATCATCTTTATATCTCTTTATTTAACAGGGAAGCACAGGGGACAGAGGAGTCGTGGGACTGATGGGGTCTCCAGGAAAACAAGTAAGTTTAAGAAAAATCAAACTTGTCTAAAGTGTCATATCGAACCTATGGAAGAGGATTAGGGCCACTGAAAAAAAATAATAAAAGGATAACTGATTTTTAAATATTATTTCAGTTTAATATGGGAAAAAAGTCAAAATTCTGACTTTTTTCTCAGAATTCTGACTTTAATCTCAGAATTTGGATCTTAATGTAGATGGGAACCATGAAGGAAGACATGTGGGAGCATTCAGCTTCACTGACAAAGTGACAGTGACACATTGGTGGGAAATAATGGATTAAGCCGACTTCTTAAGTGCCTGAGGGGTCCCTGGTGACGCTATTTCATTATTGGAAGAGTAGAAGGTGATTAAAACAAGAGAGCTAGTTTAGATTAGATAGATTAAAGTCAGAATTTTGAGAAAAAAAGTCAGAATTCTGTTTTTTTTCTCATATTATACTGAAAGAAAAAAAAATAAAAATAAAAAAATCAGTTAACTTTTTCTTTTTTTTTCAGTGGCCCTAATCCTCTTCAGTACAAACCTTTTTAAACTGTTGAGGTAAAGATTTCAACTGAAACAAATGTAGGAATCTTCTCATTAGAGGTCTTATTATTCTTCCAGGGGGAGCGAGGAGACCAGGGGGAAGTTGGACCGGCTGGGCCCAGAGGAGGAAATGTGAGTCTTATATGTACTTTTACTAAAGTAAAAGTAAAAAGTACAGCTAGTATTAAAATGGCTGAAAATTGGAACAACGAAAGAGTGGCTAGCTATTGTGCGTGAAGTGTATTTAATGGAAAAGATCACATCAAATCACAAAAACATACATATTAAAGAATCTGGTGAAGATGGTGTGCGTATGAAAAGCCTGTAAGGTCAGATTTCATGCAGAAACCACATCCTCCCATCCACCCACCATCCTTCTTCTATGAAATCATTATTTTTATTTTGTGATTTCATGTTCTTCTATTTGTTACAGCTGGCTACTTTAGAAATGTCAAATCAGCAGCAAAAGAAATAAAAAGAAAACACCCGAAAAACTGAATAGCTTTTACAGGAGTCCACCCATCCATTTTCTAGCATGCTTATCCCAAGTGGGGTTGCGAGGGGTGCTGGTGCTCCAGCAGTCAATGGGCGAGAGGCGGGGTACACCCTGGACAGGTCGCCATCGCAGGGCGACACAGAGACAGACAACCATTTACACACACACTCACACCTAACGGGAATATAGAGAAGCCAATTAACCCAACTGTCATGTTTTTGGACTGTGGGAGGAAGCTGGAGTACCCAGAGAGAACCCACACATGCTCAGGGAGAACATGCAAACTCCATGCAGGAAGACCCCAGGCCGGGAGTCGAACCCAGAACCTTCTTGCTGCAAGGGAGCAGTGCTAACCACTGCATCACTTTAAATGATATAAAATAACTTTAAAACTCTATTCTTAAAAATAACTAAAATGAGCAAAAAACAGATCAAGACCCAAACCCAAACTGGCCCCTAAACGATTCTCACAAAGCAGTGTGGGATATATCTCACACTGCATCTGAAAGTGCCACAATAAAAGAATGAAAAGACAAAAATATGTAACTAACAATTATAACTACATTTATAAGAGGACATATCAGTCATAAAAAGACGACTTTTGAAGGTTTTTAGTGCTTTTGCTCTAACTGACCAATCATCTTTTTTTCCCCCACTTTTTTTATCTGAATTTTTTTCATTTTTTCATTTGTGGCCTATCAGGTTTATTCGATGATGATTATAAAATTAATGTATGTGCATATGGAATTTTAATTAAATGAGATGCTTAACTCTGTTTACTGCAAACAGTCATGCAACTTTGGTAGAAAACTGCTGATGTTTGTGCAAGGATAATCACAGTTATCGGGAGACTACTCTATTCTGTGATTCAATCAGAAAGAGCATTTTGTCATAGGACCTGATCAATTGCCTTGTCAGAAGAACACTGTTCTGTAACCCACCCCATGTGTTATGATCTGCTAATAAAAAGGCTTCAGCTGAGAAAACCCACTAGAGAGCAGATGTGGCTGAACGTGGCTCTCTCCTCCTGCAGGAGCTAAAAATCCATATTCTGTGCAGACTCGGTTTATTTATTATGAACCTACAATTTTGAACATAACATGGCCTCAAGAAAAATCTTTGTGCGCAAGTTTGTAACTGACATTTAACATACTAGAGAGCTCAGGTTAAAGGGAAACAGCGGTTTTTTTTTTACATTGGGCCCTTGATTTTACGTTATTACATCATGTTCTACTCACCCATATGAGTTTTATGTCATTTGGAGCTGTTCTGAAGATATTCTGTTGGGTTATATCCAAATAAAGTCTTCCTATGGGCAACGACTTGAAGGCACAAACTGATCTGTTCACAATTTATTCTTTATGGTATGTCAGCATTCAGAACATGGAGGCCAATCACTGTCCCCACTCATGTTACTCATGCTTGGCATTTGCTTTGCTCATATCAACAACTTTGCACATGTTTTTGAAATGCTGGTTTATTTTTACATTTTAATACGGCAATGGCAATCAAATAGTGTGATGTCATTTAATTGATTTGTAGATGATACTGTGTTGCATAACGCTCTTTCTTATTCCAGGGTGAACGTGGAGAGACAGGACCTAATGGACCTCCTGGGATACCAGGAGCCAGGGTAAGATCTGACGAGTAGGAAAAAAAAAAATTAAATTATCTTTAAACCCATAAATTCCTGAAAGGTAAAAAAAAAAATATATATATATATATGGTGATATTTCTGAAATATTAATCACAATATATTTCCCTGACCATATATGAATGTCTTTGAGGAACTAAGTCATTAAATAATTTTTCACATTTCACCCACTATCAGATCACAATATTTGTTCCCTTTCTGTGCAGAACATTAAATGGATTGAGTCATTTTATTGCAATGTAAACAATTGAGAGATGTATTTACATACATATAGATGAGAGACTTTTTTCTTTTCAAAGAGGGATGAATCTAAGAACAAAACCCAACAGAGCTCCAAAATCCACTAAAATGTCTAAATATTCTGCTGACGGGCAATTTATGCATGAACAAATTAATGATTTTTTTCATTTATTTTTAAGGATACAATGTAATGGGAACACTGGATGGTGTTTAAAGGACTTGTATTTGGTTTTATAAACCAACAGAACACGATTAAGAACAAAAATCCAGTATTTAACTCATCAGCCATGTTAGGTTTCACTGCAAACACTGATCTAGAAATAACAAAAACTTTTCTAAAATAAGTGTCTTTGTTCTTAATTTTAGCAGGTAAATAAGCCAAAGGGATCAGTATATTTCATCCATCAAAAAAAAAAAATAATAATATTATAGAATTGATATAAAATTATATAAGTTTTTCTTTCTTTTTCAAAATATAAAATATTTTTATTTCAGTTGGAACAAACCTGATACAAGACCTGATCTGCAGGATCTTAAGGTTTTTAAATCCTCCTTAAAAACACACTTCCTCTGTGGCAAAGAAATATTTATTTACACTTTTATTTAAATTTTAACTTATTTTATTCTATTTTATATTCATTGTATTTTATTGCATTGTGTTTATGAATCTTAGCTTTTAAGTTTTTACCTTATTTCCTGCAACTGTGATATCTGGTTGTTTTAAATGTGCTTTATAAATAAAGGTTGAACTGAGGTGAGTTGAGTTGTAAGTTGTCTTACTAAACAGCTTAAAACAGGAAAATACTCTTAGTTCAGTAAAAATATTGCCCTAAAAAGAGTTAATTCTGAAAGAAAAACAACAGAATCCTAATATGTTGAGAAAAGATTCAGACAAAATGAAGTAAAAAGTTGCTTTTAAAGCCAGAGGACAAAAATCAGAGAGAATGATCCAACCTCAGAAGCTTCAAACCATCTCCCCTGAGCTCAGGTTGGTTCTGTCAGCAAAGAGAGATCAGAACCACCAACCTTCAGTCAGCAGAACACGTGCATGTTTATCGTTTATCGTCCTGTGTTTATCATTCAACATAAATAAAACTGACCAACTGAGGATTTAAATCTTCCTCAGACACTTTTCTGTAAAGCAGAGCTTTGTATTCTGCTTGCACTGCAAAAACCGATCTTCACAAAGTTTTTTTCTTATTTTAAACATAAATCATCTTATTGGTAAATTGTCTTACTAAGCAGCTCAAAGCAAGGAAAAATCTGCTTATTTTAAGAAAAGTTGACTTACTTATATCTCATTTTTTGCAGTGTGTAGCTAAGTCTGTAATCCACCCCGTGAGCAGGAATGAAAGGCCGTTTGTTGCAGGTGTTTTTTTCTGAAGCTCAGAGGGGATTCAGGAAAGGAACAGAAGCTGAGAGACTCTCAAAGAAATCTCTGTTCTCTAGGAATGCCCACATACCCACCGCCACCCAGAGATGGAGGAGCGGATGGTGGCTCACATGATTTCAAGCTGGAATGTTTTTATATATACTTTTTCTGTGTGTGTTTTGGGGGGGGTGGCATATACTCTGAGGCTTAAAACAGACTCGTTTCTGTGTGTTTGCTGAATGTGCATCAATATTCTCTGTCTCAGCTCATGTTTATACGTGTGGATGTGTTTCACAGGGAAGCAAAGGGGACCCAGGCTTTCCAGGGCTTCCTGGCCCGGCTGGTTATCGAGGCCAAAAGGGGGACCGGGTAAGAACCTCACGTTAATCCCAGATCAGATCAGAACTACTGAGATAATCCGTCTTCTATCCATAAAGTCAAACCCAGATCTGCTGAGGAAAAGTCAACAAAGCAGAAATATTAAAATTAGCACCAATTTCTCACTATATGGAAGCACTGGTGAAATTTGTGGCATTGCACCACAATGCTAGTAACTCTGGACTTAATTTGCACGCCTACTGCAGCGACATGTCCTGGAGTTTTTTTTGTTTTACTTCTCATCTGTTCATTTATGCTTAATCCTACACTGCAAAAAAATCTAAATCTAGATAAGTCATTTTTTTCTTAAAATAAGTGCGTTTGTTCTTGAATTGAGTAGGTAAAAGAGACATTTTGCCAATGGAACAAGACAATTTACACTTAAAATAAGAAAACAGAGTTGAATTCTCTTATTTCAAGTGCATATTATCTAATGATCTTATTTTAAGAGTAAAAATACTCATTCCATAGGCAAACTATCTCATTTACCTACTCAAATTAAGGGTGAATACACTTAATTTAAGAAATTTTGACTTATTTTTATATCGTTTTTGCAGTGTACACACTAGGGAAAAAAACTAAATCTAGATAAGTCATTTTTTTCTTAAAATGAGTGCATTTGTTCTTGAATTGAGGAGGTAAAAGAGACATTTTGCCAATTGAACAAGACAATTTACATTTAAAATAAGAATTGCATTGTCTTATTTCAAGTGCATTTTATCTAAATATCTTATTTTAAGAGTAAAATTACTCATTCCATTTGCAAATCATCTCATTTACCTACTCAAAATAAGGGTAAATACACTTCTTTAAGATTTTTTTTTTTTTTTTACTTATTTCTAGATCATTTTTCCAGTGCAATTAAAGGAAATTATGCATTTTAAGAAAGAAGATTCTCTCTTAGTGGGATTATTTCCTCTGCCACACTAATCTACGTATCAGTCAGCAAAGGAGCATTTAGCGCCTGATTTCAAAGGCAGAGGAAAACGTTTAGAAACAATCTGATAACAACGGATGTGATGCAAGAACACCTTTAATTTAAAAAAAGCTCTTGCTGAGCCAGTTGCTAAAATTTTATATGAACATCTCTTTCAAGACAGGGAATCAAAAAACATTGCTTTGTAGCAAATATACAATCTTGACTGTTATGGTTACAGAAAAGCACTGTTGTATAGAGGACCTGGCATGCACAAATAGCACTCTAAATAGTTAAATAACCCTAAAGACTATGTGTCCTTATGCTTTTTAGTGGAATGCACCTTTACTGATGGAAGCTGAGCAGGTTAAAAACACCCAGTCTCTTTGCTCTGTTCAAACTGACCCGGATCTGTTTGTCCTTCTGTCCTTCAGGGTTCTGTTGGACTCACTGGCCCTAAAGGAGACCAGGTATTTCTTACAAAATGAAATTTAAATTTCCTTTGTAATGATTGTATTTTCTTTTGATTCAAGCAGGTAAGACAATCTGCCAATGGAATAAGAGGATGTATGTTTAAAATAAGGAAAAGTAACTTAGTTATCTTATTTCCAGTGTATAATATATAATTACCTGATTTTGATGATGAAAACAATAATTCTATTGGTAATTATCTTAATAACCTGCTTGAATTGATAACAAACACTTTTTTAAAGATATTTTTGCTTCAGTTTTTGCAGCTTGTTTTATTGGTCCAGTTATCAATCAAACCTCAGCTGGTTATAATAAATTACTTTCTTGTCTTTACTTCAGGGACCTGCAGGCGCTGAAGGAACCCCCGGAGATAAAGGCGAAGTGGTGAGTGACACTAGAGCCTCTGTTAGAGGCCTTTCTAGACTGAAACCCCGACCAGTTAGTCAGGAAGCAAACGAGAAGCTGGTTCCAGATCAAACTACCTCAGAGAGAAACAATCCAAGTTTGCTGAGATCATAACAGAAGGAAGATCTGCTAGTAGATCATAAATTCCTCCACAGCTCATCTGAACATGAAATATTAATGGCTGCTCTTTGTTTTCCTTTCAGGGCGATCAAGGAGAACCAGGAGAGAAAGGATCGGTATGTAAACCAGTGGCTGTTAGAGGGTTGGGAGCCCTTGGAGGGTCGGCAGACATCATAATGTGGTTGCCGAGCTTTATAGACGCCCCAAATATGTCATGAAATAGATAAATGTATCATGAACATTATTTATTTTTAAAATGCATTCAAATATTACATTATTAAACAACTAAAAATACATTTAAATGAAGAATTTGATCATTATAAGTCATTAAAATATATGTATTTAATCTGAAAAAAATTACTTTGCCCTTTATTTATAAAACATATAGAATAAAATAGCCTTTTATCTCCCTGTTAGAGGATGTAGTCAGTCAGCAAAGTCGAAGGTACTGGAAAGGATGAAACGGTCAGAAAATACTGGAAAAGGCTGCAGTTAGTTTCTTACAGTATAATCAGATGGTTTATGCTGCTTTTCTTCATAGTTTAGGACTATTTTAACATTTACTGGACAGAGCAAACAAAGCAGATGTGTTTTTAGACTCGGGAAGATAAAGTCCAGAGCTCATCTGATCACCTACAGGACTCTGATTGTCATGTTTATTGGGGTGGAGTTTAAATCTGTTTCTCCATGCTTTGTGTTAAACTGCAGCAAGGACCACCAGGAGAGACGGGAAACAAAGGAGCTGAGGGGGGCCGTGGGCTGCCAGGCAAAGAGGGCAAGCCGGGTCAGGCAGGACCACGAGGCATGCAGGGAGATACAGGGGTACCGGGCCTACCTGGGCACCAGGGTCCAGCGGTGAGACAACAGCTGTTGGGTTGAATTGTGTAAAACCTTTTTATGTGTATCCAGAGGGTAAAAGGATTGCTGCAAATGTAGAGACTTAGAGAAACATAGACGCTCATCTGAGTGCCGTAAGTCCCAGATTACATTTCTTCTGATTTCAACCAGTTTGTGTCTCTTAAAAGTCGTGAAATACTTTTTTATAACAAACAAATATAACCTTAGTGAATAAAAAAAAGTTTTGATCAAATAAAACCCAGCCTAGGTGTTAGCATTCCCTAAAACATAAAGCTAAAACCCAGGCTCATGATTGGTAGAGACCTGTAGAATAGAGAGATCACAAACCAAGACATGATCAATGATTTAATCTGATCAATATATATATATATATATGATATATATAAACACGTCATGATCGGATAATTTTATTTAGTGTCCATATAAACAGCATAAGCAGAGTGGTGGCAGCTAATGATGAGGGCCATGAAATGACAGTGTGGACTCCAAATACAGCAGCAGAGTCACAACAAAACAAGGCTAAAAAAATACAGAAATTAAGCTTTTAAAACTTTACAATCAAAAATAAGTTTTAAGTAACTTTGCTGTTTTTTTTTTATTTTATTTTTAGTTAATTTATTTTACAGATTTTGAATTTTCCCATCCAGGAAGCTTTGCTTTGTTTGGGCTTAGAAAAGTTGAGGAAGAGTGGAAAAGCACTGGTTTGTTTACAAAACAGGCAGCTTCTTCTTCTACTACTAAAATGTTTCTGGAAACCAAGACATGATCAATGATATAATCTGATCAAAATGTCGCTTGATATATAAACACGTCATGATCGGATAATTTTATTTAGTGTCCATATAAACAGAGATTTTTATACTTCTGATCAAACACAGATTTACAACGTAGTTTCGATGATTGTCTCATTTTATCCCTTTTTTACTGGAGAAATTAATTCATCTTTAAATTTGATAAAATGTGGAGTTTGAAGCTACATGAGAATGAATTTAAGGATGTATCCTTAAAGGATGACAGCATGATGGATTAAACCGGGACAGGTAGAAGAAGAAGGAGCCATGGAGGTTGATCTATTAGACACTAAGAGAAAAATTATTTAAAGCAGAACCTGAGATACCACAGGATTTAACCTGTTAATAACAGGTGGCCTAGTCAAAGTATTAACTTAAACCTACATGAACTTGGTGTTTAAACCCCTCTAACATGATAAAGAAACAAGTGAGCTACCATTCCTGATTCCCAGGGCTCCACTGCCAGTCCTTCTGTTTACCAGTCGTTCTCTCCTCCCATGATGCCGAGCTGTCTGACATCATCATTAGTATATCTGGATACACGAGTTCTATAAATCTGCTGCTGCTCTAATTTCCTCAGCAGTCTTTTTTGTTGTTACTCCCATGATTTTTACTCTTGAACCATGTTTGTTGTTCAGGGCAAAGCTCCGACGGACAGACACATCAAACAGGTCTGCATGAGAGTCATGCAAGGTAAGAGTTTATCATGTTCAGGCTTCAAGCCACTGACTGCTTCCTATCGAGATGTTTTCTGCATTCTGATGTCATTTCTATGATGTAATGAAGTGACTTCATATAATCGATGCTTTGGTGTCACAGAGCAGCTGGCCCAGTTGGCAGCCAGCCTGAGCAGACCAGAATCCGGCGTGGCCGGGCTCCCCGGCCCTCCTGGCCCACCTGGACCTCCAGGCTCTCCCGGAGAGAATGGATTTCCAGGCCACACCGGGTCAAGAGGTCTCCCTGGTTTGAAGGGTCCACCTGGGTTAATCGGACTCAAAGGACCGAAAGGTGCGAAACTCCTTTTATGAATCTCCCTCTTTTAGTCAAGAATCTAAATTCACCAACAAGAGTGAGAGCTTCAGTAACAGAGGAGGTTTCTCATGATGCACACAAACCTGTCTCTGATTATCAGCAACAAAAAAGGTGGAGAGATAAGCAGAGTGGTGGCAGCTAATGATGAGGGCCATGAAATGACAATTTGCTGCAGAGTCACAACAAAACAAGGCTACAGAGTTTAAACAATGTGTAGCAAAGAACCAATCAGAGGCTGCGTCTCCAGAAACAAACCTGAACGAGCCTTTTATCAGGGGGGATTATGACCAATAAAGCTGAATTCAACAAATGTTTACTCCTCTCCTCTCTGGCGGTGCCATTGATGCATGAATTGGTTCATTACTGCCCTCTAGAGTTCGCTGAAATACCCAACCAAAGAAACCATTGAGAGGAATCCTCCTATACTTACAAAATGAGATTTTTCCTCCTTCACTCTTGAAATCAGTTACTTTACAGAGGATGTTAACATTGTTTTTTTAAGAGGACCATCTGGTAGCTTCACTGATGTTATTTATGTTCTTCCTGTAGGTGACCAAGGGGACAGAGGGGACAGGGGGCCCACAGTGAGGGGACCCAAAGGGGAACCTGGCGTTCCTGGTCTACCAGGTAAATAAAAAGCATAACTTTGTGACATGAGTGGATTTAATTCAAGTTTGATTCAATGAACATTAATCTTTTTTTTTTAATGTTTAATATAGTATGTTTGGCTGAGATATCCGTTATTTTGTTATTCCAGGGTCTGGGTAAATTCACAATGATTGTTTTACATTTTTTCGCCTGTTAGCTAGACATGATTTTTATTTCATCCTACTGGGACTTCAGTATGGAGAGCCATTTCAGCCAAAATTAAATAAATAAATGGGTGAAATAAATAAAAAATGAGTAAAATAAATCAAAAAATGAAGAAAATGAGTGAAATAAATAAAAAAATGTGTTAAATAAATAATTTAGCTTTTTCATT